GTGTGAAAAGTACCAGCACAACTTTATTGTGACTATTGTGCTCAGAGTATATTTAGCTCATTTTGACTGGGCAGCTGAACGTGCGACGTGTACAACAATAACGTTTGTACACAGCGGCAGAGGAAATACAGAACTGTGACATTTTTTACTCTATAGCTTATATATATATAAGACTTTACAACACTCCATACAAAGAAGTTAAAAATCTCAGGATTCAAGTATGATTTTCTAAAGAACTGAACTATTGGTACAGTGATAGTGCGTGACATGAAGCAGCAATGTAGCACGTTTTATCATCTGGGGGGTTCAAATTACTTCAGCAGAAAACCCCACCTAAAATAAGTTGAAAATTCTCCTTAAATTACCTCATGGCGCCCTCTCTTGGACAAAAGTAAGCAATGTATGACGAACACCCGTCTTTTTTTACTAATTGACTCCAGCGAGAATGAGAATCGTGCAGCTGTTATTATTTTATATTTATATTAAAGCTAAACGCCTTTTGTTTAATAAATGAAGTCGATGGACCAGGCTGGGGGCAAACTGACTATTCAGTCAGAAACCATATCAAATCATGATCATCATGGAAAAGAAATATAACCCACATAACCCAGATTAGAAGGGAATTATAGAAAGGATTTGAACATGATTATTTTAAAACTCCAAAGCAGAATAATCTAAAACTGCTATTTGCCAAGGCAGGAATGTTCCCATTGGATTCAAAAGAAAGCCGAAGTGTTAATGCTTTTTTATGTGTGTGTGTGCTCTATTGGATATGTTTGCCGATTAACAGGAAATATCCCCTTCCTCCAAGCCGGACTTCGAATTAATTAAGAATTGATGTAAGAACCTATACAGTCGCACGACAGAAGCAGACCAGATACAGGTTTCATCCACACAGCAGGTGGCAGAAGCGAGTCATTTACCAGCGCTTCTTGGTTCATCCGTGTTTAACGTCTACCAGTGAACACAGAGCGCTACTGCGTGCACCAGTGTGAGCGGAGCGCACCAGCATATTACACAACCGCTCCTGCGGGGTCTTGGGAATGTCAAATGGAAATTAACATTTTTAATATAAACTATATATTATGCATACGGGTTTGTATGTCTTACATTCAATATATTGTATGGAATATGTACAATGTATCTTATGGTAACGGCACTGTCCTCAGCAGCACAAGGGAGGGAAGCCATAAAAAAGCACACAGAATGTTTGGATATGCTTGAATACATAAAAGGAGTGAGGAATTAGAATATATTGTAGTCGTTCTTAAGATCTGCAGTGCGGTAGTAGACCCTCATCTAGAATACTGTGTTTACTTCCAGTCCCCAGAACACAGAAGGGATAATCCAGTCATGGGACTCAGGGGACTGTTGTGTACCAACGGGTTGTGGGAGCCAGATCTCTTCAGTGTGGAACAGAAGAGATTTCATTCCAAGCCTAAAATAACCCAAAGGGTACAGATAGGTACAACCCAGGGAGCTGTTTCACACTCGGCAGCAAATCAAATACACGAGACCCTGGTTGAAAGCTGGAGGAGAATTCCTTCAGAAAGAAAAGGAATTCTGTCCTGATATTTGCAGCTGCCTCCTGTTCCAGCCCCCTCCCTACAAAAGCCAGACGCTCCCATCATTCCAGGCTCAGCTTTGGGAGATGGATGCCTGGAAGCCTGCCTACCAGCGAGCCCAGGAGTGGCCCGATGGCACAGGCTTCACCACGCATCCTGACCATCTGGGTCCGGGGCATGGAGTGCCTGGCCCCGTTACCCCATTTTTATTCCCCCAACCTTTCGCCGGATCCCACTCCGGCTTTTAGCTTTGTCATGTCTCTGTCATGGATGGACCACCCGGCTCTGGACGACTGCATTCCCTGGATTCCCCCCCCCCCAAGCACCAGCGCACCGTCAACACGCCCCCCTGTTCTTCTTCCAGCCCCGATCCTAGTCTTCCTTCCCCGTGTCTGTCCCACTCCCCTCCGGATTCTATCATCTGCACAGGGGCCTGAAAAACGCTTCGTGACACAAACTCTGGGCAGCTTTAAGAACCAGCTGGACGAAATGTTCAATTCGCATGGCTAGTAAATTCCGAAACAAGCAAGATCATCCTCTCACGCTACAGAGCTTCACCCGTATGAACATTGATATGTTTCTAAGAAAACTGAAATCCCGGAAGGCAGTTTCACCATCTTTCTTGGTGGCCACAGAACTCGAACACGTCTGCAAAGAAGCCCAAGAGATCTCTGTATTGGCCACGAAAAGCCTTGGGATCGCTGCCTGTGAGTCCTGCTTCCCTCGGCTCAGCCTTGCTACCTGACATTGCTGCCACTGTGGGGTGCTTGCGGCTCTGGGAAGCCCTGAGACAACGTAAACGGGCTGATTCTCAGGCCTGTGTCTATTGAAGGTGTGTTCTGATGCAAGGAGCGAGCACAGCCCTTAAATACAGCCTTGCTTGATAGCTGGTTACTGTCCTGGGTCTGCGTCTGCAGCTCCCACAGGAATGGTAGCCAGCTGGAATGGAGGACAAAATTCCATGGGCCTTTGTGCCTTTTTCATTAACTCCATATTGGCTCGTTTCATGTTACTTTTCATCTCTTTCCCTGTCATTCACCGTAGACCTCCGAACTCTCCAGCGTGGGGCTTTGCTTATCTGGAAAAGGCCCTGGAACCGGTGGGCACTCGATGACGAATAATGACTCAGTCCATCTGGCTGCTCGTCATGTAATTATCCAGCTTAACCAGCTCAGTGTGAAATGATAGCTGCTGCTCTGTGTATGTCTGCATCAGCCGGGCTGGAGCAGATGAACACGGTGCAGCCTGTGGGCAGGGGCCTGGACCTACGTCAGCCGGTACTCCCATTGCTGAGGGAGCCGGGGTTTCTCCAGGAATGACTCACGGAGTATCCCTGGAAAGGGAATGGCAGAGACTCCCACCTTCCCAATTGCGGCTGGTCACCACGGCACACGCAGCAGAGCCCACCCCTGCAACAGCTCACGCCTGACCCTTCCTCACACTTTCCCGGCAGAGCAGCAAGGAAGCGGAGCTGCAGCTGTTCCTCTCTGGGGGCGTTCCGCTAATCCCTGAAAAACCCGGGCGGATTAAAAGATCCACAAACTCTTTCCACTCCGCCGTTCCCCACAGATGATGTTGCAGGCTGCCGGAGAGACCGGTGTTCGGAATTTCAGTAGTGTTGAGTCGAGATAATACGTGAAAACTGGCGGATGCTTTAGCTAGCAGAAGAAGATCAACACTTGTGTTTTTATAGGAAAAACGCATGTGAGTGAGTAAACCCCTAACCTCTCAGCAAAGTGTGGAATTACCCAGCGAAGGGTGTTGGGGTTGTCCATTAGTTACACAAGAGACCTTGTTGTTCATGGAAACCAGCGGTGAGCTTGGCTGGGAAAATACTGCTGTTTACACTTGAACATCCTGCAGAATACACCTGGAGTAGCTTGTTCTTCTACTGTCCATGGAAGAGTTCAATAACCGAGACTCATGGCTTGTTGACAGCTGCTTAATCTGAAAGATTAACATAAAACACACGATAAAAAATGTGTGGGTTCGCATTTATGACATTTTAAATTAAGATTTCGTGAACAAAGGTTGTTTTTAAAGCAATAATGTACCGTGGAATGGTAGCGAGAGCAATCCAGATCTACAGGGGTTTTATTTTGTTCCAAGAAATGCACTGCATTTTAAGTTAATTTAATTTGTGCTTCTATTACTGTCCTTCCCAGGAACTCATGCCGGTCCCACTGTAATTACTCATCTTTCTGTTGTGGTGGAAGTCCCCTCTGACGGCTACTGAATGCAGCCATTTTGTACCTTCCTGTTTGGCATGATAAGGTTTGGGCCTCAGTGAGCAGTTGTTCTGAATTTCTTGTGGGTTTTGAATCCCAGGGGCGGCAGTGCTGTTGTACCCTTGAGTAAGGTACTTCACCTTAATTGTTGCTTGGGATGGAAGCGGCAGCATTTACCAGTTAATTAGTAATTAATCAACCTTGGTGTTTTCCATTTTAGATTTGTACTGTAGTTTATGTTTCTACTATTTACACACAACATCCGGCACTGGTCTATGTTAATTGTCGCCTGTGCTACATTCACATGGGCTTGACTTAGGTCTTAGTCTTCTTGAATTTTTTGGGGTCGCTTCTACTTTTTGCTTCTAACTAATTTGGTATTACCTGTTAATTTATCTAGTGTATTATTATGATCTTATATCAGGATCTAGGTAAGTTATATGTATATATGTTACGAACAGCAGGAGTACCCTCACAGATCCCCACAGTACTCCTCTACTTCCCCATTTCACCATTTTCCCTATGCTGTTGCCTTTCCATTAACCAGTTCTCTAAGTACAGATTTTACATTGAATGCCTAGTGCCTAGACTTTGGGAAATATTTTTCCGTGAGGAACCTAAAAGCCTTATTGATATCAAAAGACACCATGTCATACACTTTGTATCCATTACTGCTGTGTTTGATGAAAAGACCCTTGACAAGTTAGATAGTAAAACCCATAAAACCTTTTTTCTCAATCCATGCTAACTATTCTTAAGAATTGTGCTGTCATGCAGTGTCATTCTCTAGTTTAGACCTAATTATTCTTTCTTCAGTCTTGCATGCAGTAGTATTAATAAGAGGTACTGTTCTATAATTACTTGGTTCAGTTTTGTCTCCCTGGTCATGAATGGGTCCTACATTAACGAGTTTCCAGTCATTGGATATTGTCTGTTTCAACACACCGCTGGAAGAGTTCTGTTAATGGCCTGTGAATATCAGACATCTCTTTCCTTATGTGCATTTGGTAGAAATCTATGTCACAGTTTTGTGTAATCTCTGCATCTCCAAGGATGACCTGAATTGTCACATGCGCTTAAAACTGTTGCATGATCATTAAGTAACTAGGCAAGACAATAAAAAGTAATGAAGTGGGAGCGTGTTTTCAGACAAGTATATAAACCAAGTTTTAACAACTTGAAACATAGTTTATTGTGTCTTGAAATGATTAATAAAACAGCAAATATACATGATAAAAGTACAAAATTAGAGTTACAATCTGAAAGAAATAAAAACCATTCTGGTTCCAGCCCAATTTAATTAAAAAATAAAAATAAAAACCTACTGGAAAAAAAGACTTTAGAAAGCTTCGACTTGAGAAAGTACAAACTTCAGTTGCAGAATTAAATGGCCTGAAATAATTGTGAAAAAAATCTAATAAGCCACAAAATCTCTTAACATATTACAGAAGAGATCTCTCAAAGCCTGCTTTTATAGATGTGCTTGATCTAAAGCTATACCCAGCACCAACCACCTGTTTTCTCAATTTCACAGCTCCTCTGTTTTTTTTACCACACTCACGCCAGTTCCAAAACTTCAAGAATATATTTGGAATGATGAATACAAAAACAGAAAATACAATAAACTCTGAGAATGAGGAGGAGTGAATGTACTCAGGGTCAGGGAAAAAAAAAAACATGTTTTCTAATTAAAAACTTCTAATACACCGTAGCAGAACACAGTCTTTAGGCTTAGGATTCCTCTTAATGAACACAGAAATATTGAGTCACAAAAATAAATATAAACAGGTGTCACACTATAAAACTATAATAATAATAACAACGAACGCAGGAACTGATGTGGTTTTGACATATTCATGCGTTACAGGAAAGAGAACCACGTGTATTCCACTATGTGCATCAATGTTAAATATAATTAAATATTTATTTCAGTATGCAAAGTACATTGTACTTTTATGTTTATGCGCGTTATACATGTATAAATATAACAACTTTTTCCATCACATCTTCCACCAAGTTTTTTTTTTAGATGTTGCCTTGATCAGAATTTCCTGTCCAGCAGTAACTTTCCTCTGATGGGATAAAATCAATGTCTTTCCAGCAGCAGACTCAAGACAGCAGGGCTGTCCGCGTCACTGCATTGCATAGGATTTCACTATTCAGTATTGAAATAGCATTTCAATATGCAGCTGTTCCAATGCTGACTCGTGTCCGTTTGCACTCAGGGCCTAATCAAACAAAAGGCTTCCCTCTGACATATGCGGTATTGAACTTTTAATGAAGTTAAATACCGATTTAAGATTCCTTTATTTTCACGGTACTGTACTGCTCCACAAGTTCAATTTTCTAAAAACCCTAAAAAGCAAAGCTCAAAGTTTAAAAACTTTTTCTTTCTTTCGGAAAAGCAATGACCTTTTAGTATAAAAGTATCATATTTTCAGTATCGTCCCCTCCCACCCCACCGTTTTAACTGGAGCAGTATAATCCTTTTCAGCACTCTGCTCCTCTGGAGCTCTGCAGGGGTGCAGAGTACCGATTCCGTCATGCGGGGTCAGCCGGCAGTGTTGCAACGTCACACTGACGTGTGTTCATAGGCTTTGCTTAGGTGGGTCTTCGTAAAGGAGCCGAAGACAGGAGAGGACTTCACTTCTGCGGGTACACTGCTCCTGCAGCCATCGCCTGCATGCCCGTTTGTTCCGCGATCCACTGGTTGTAGTTCGTCACCTTTGTGTAGACACCTGGCCGGTACTTTCTGGCACAGCCTTCTCCCCAGCTCACAATTCCGAACAGGTACATCCGATGATCCACCTCACACACCAGGGGTCCTCCCGAGTCGCCCTGCGGCACACACACACACAGGAGCAAATCAGAGGGGAGTCCTGCGCATTTAGAAACAGAGCACCCTGCTTCCCTTCACACATCCTGAGGAAGCTTACTAACTTCTGTTCGTGTCCAAGGGGTTCGGATTTTGAATGACCGGCCCGGACACAGGCACTCTCGTCATGCTCCCTGTCCTCGAAATCTGAGAACAGCCGACCAGAGACGCCCGCAGTCTAAATCCCCTTACGCACTTAACGCGTTTTTATGAAACTCCCAGTAAGTTTGTCACAGTGCATGTCAAGATTTAAGAACGGTTAACTGCTGCTATTTGGAAGACGGCACTGAAATGGGTGGGAGGCGGAAAAACGAGCACGGCTTTCGCAAGACCGAGTATCCCGCTTACCTTACAGGAGTCCACGGTCCAGTCAGAACCACCGGCACAGAACATGTTTCCCGTCAGCATGGTCCCGTAGTACTGCTCGCTGCTGCAGACCGACTGAGGGAGCAGCTGCACTCTGGCCTCTCTCAGGTAATTGGAATAGTACCACAGACCTGCAAGCACCACACACTCACTGTGAGCAGGGAATCGCTCTGACTCTGTCCTGCCAGCAAGAAGGAGCCCCTGAAGAACCGGAAGTGGCGGTGTGTTTCCTAACTGCTGAGGAAGAGCAAGTGTTGAGAAGAAACTGAAAGCGCTCTTTAGCGGAGGGACTTGTGTGAGGCGTGTGGCTGTATCCTCTGGTTGGAAGAAAAGCAGAGCGCTGTGCTGAGGGAGAAGTGAAGTCACTACACCTCAGGGGCAGCCTTCCTGTGTGAGCCTGCTGTGTGTTGGCCACAATGGTTCGCTGCTTTTTTTCCACGTTTTTTTTTTTAAACGAAAAACCTTCCAGGTTGATCCGTGATATCAGCCCTATTTCTCCCCCCATTATGGGGGATAAAGGGACTGTGTTTTGAATGGATACGGGTGTGGGATGCCGAGATGTTGTGCACCAGGGTGAGCCAGCTTACTTTCTCTCTCCCTGCCATAGCCCACTATTTCACAGGTCGACCCAGCTGGGAGCATTCTGTTCTGTGGAGGGAGACAGACCGTCTTCACTGCCCTGGACTCCACCGCACACTGCCCAGATCGTGACCTCATTTTCACCAGGGCTGGGGAGGAAGACACACAGGAGACAAACACGAGTGAAACCCTTTTCTTCCACAGTAAAACAGGCCCACGCGGGGCTCGTTAAATCCGATGCGAGCTGTAGTGCTGTCCCGCTTCCAGTTCGTTCAGCCCCACACGGCCCACTGTGAGGCCCCACAGCCCCAGACAGCCTGAGCGGTTGCCAGCGTCTGAGGCTGCTGTGGTCAGCCAGCGGCACGGCTGTCAAGACACGCAGGCGAGCTGGGGATGTGCTGCGGTGTGTGGGCAGACTCTCGGCAGTTTCCAGGGGAGGGTCAGAAAAGTTGTTTTCCTCAGATCCTCATCTTCTCAGCTGCAAGGACTCTCGAAGAAACGTAAAGAGCTGGCCCCCGTTCTCTCGCTGAGCTGAAGAGACCTCTCAATTGGAACGTTTCAGCCAAAGCCAAGTGTAAAAATACATAGCAATAGCACAAGGGGGCAGAATACACGTGACATCTAGTGGGATATACCTATGTCGTTGTTGTAGTTCCCTTGACTGTCATCAAACGCAGGGTGAATGATGATCTTTTCCACCTGGAACTTCTGCTCTTTTCTCGAATCGGTTTCGTTGATGGCACCCTTTCCCAAGAAGATGGAGTAACGATTCGGGTCCGTACTGGCACTGAAAGAGAAAAAGAAAGACCGTTCCTCTCTGTCATCACAAGACTCTCTCCAGTCGTACAATTATGAAACAAACTTGTCTTTATAAAGGGGTGGGTCTGACATGAAGATGATGATGATGATGATGATAATAATAATAATTGCTGACACTTATATAGCGCTTTTCTGGACATTCCACTCAAAACATTTTAAGGGTATAGGGGACTCCCCTCCACCACCACTAATGTGCAGCCCCACTTGGATGATGTGACAGCAGCCATAATGCGCCAGTCCTCTTACCACGGAGGAGAACAGAGTGATAGTTCATAGATGGGGATTATTAGGAGGCCATGATTGGTAAAGGCCAATGGGGAATTTGACCAGGATGCTTTTTTTGAGAACTGCCTGGGATTTTTAATGACCATAGAGAGTCGGGACACAGAGTCAGTTTTACATCTCATCCAAAAGATGGCTCTCTTTTACAGTATAGTGTCCCCATCACTATACTGGGGGCGTTAGGTCCCACACAGACCACAGGGTGAGCACCCCCTGTTGGCCATACTAACACCTGTTCCAGCTGCAACCCTAGCTTTCCCAGGAGGTCTCCCATCCAGGTACTGACCAGCCTCACACCTGCTGAGCTTCAGTGCTGCCAGTTGTGAATTGCAGGGTGACATGTTTCTACAATGCACTTGGAGTGCAGCGCCTCGCCCAAGGGTACACCACTGGTGCCCCGACAAGACCTGAAACCACTGCCTCCCAGCTGGGGAGCAGAGCCCCGACTGCCCTTCTACACCACCGCCTCCCTGTTTCTCGCAGGGCAGCGACGTCTGAGCTGAGCAGGACTTTACCCGTTAGGGAAGCAGTGTGCAGCCGTCACCAGCCAGCAGGAGGCGATCAGGCTGCCTCCGCACGTGAAGAACTCGGATGTCCTGGAGCGCTGGAAGATGGCGCCGGTCCAGGGCTGGGATTCGATGGCCGTCACTTTCCCCCCAACGATCTTGAACAGCTTCTGCTCCCGCTTGCCGCATGTGGCCGCTGCCGGAGCAATTTCACAAAGAGGGGTCAACTTTCAGAGGTGGTGGACTTTCAGAGATACTGTTGGCCTATTTTAGGCAAACCTCTTGATCAGGATTTCCTACTGCACATGTGAAAACTAGTCGGAAACTGTGTGCAATTCACTCGGTAATTCTCTGTTGTTTATGCACAGGGTGTATCCATCTTCTGAAAAGTTTCCATTTAACTTTATAATCTCAATATTTGTATATTGCCAATGAAGTCATCTTATTTTGAAGTGTAGCTGGCGTGCATCGCTAAGACCCTCTATGTTTTTTTCTGAATGAATGCGAAGTAGCACAGCAAAGGCATTCCGAGCCAACAAACCACAGCAAATGTCCTCCTTTTGTTAGTATCCCATAGTGACACCTATGACTAAATAATGTTTACAACGGTTTCACCCACATCAGTTTACTTCACCCCCTGCCTCTCTCAGATTAACAGCTCGAGCCCTTGTCCTCTGGCATGAGTGAATTCTTGAAAGGCAGAGAGAGGCTTCTGAACGTCAGACATGCCTGTTCTACAGTGTATGTACAGTAGTGAAAAAATCGTCCCACCCATATCTGCTTACTCAGTTTTGAGGCACAGGGCTGAATCTGGCAATGCTCCCGGACGATCTTGAAGCCTTGTCTGACATGGCACCAGGGTTTCCTGTCCCCATTGGGATTCCTGCAGGTCCCGTGAAACAAGAGTTAATCATCAGCACACTGAACACACCAGACACGTATCTTGGTAACAAATCTGGAACTGATTCACAACGTTCGACAGCTTCGTGTTCAACATCACTTTCCCAAAAAAAACAGGGTCACGCTGAGCAATCTCTGTTCTAAAAATGTTAATGAGATGATTGCACCTTGAATAAATATAGCATGTATGTATGTGCATATGTTTCTCCTTTAATGCGAAAACGCATTACCAGTGTGACACAAAAAGAGGATGTAGAGGAATCTTGAGCAAGAATATTGTGGTGGAATTTCAGAGATATTGTTGGCCTATTTTAGGCAAACCTCTTGATCATGAGTGGAAGTAGTTCCCCGTCAAAACAGCATCAAAATCCTGTCAGCATATCTGCTGTGTTAGTCAACAGGTTTCAAGAGTGTGAATTTGGTAATAAGCTATACCAGAACCCCACATTCACATATTCAAACTCCTCAAAGACACTGACAAAGTTAACCCAATGGACATCTTCTGAATTTAAGGTGAAAGATGAACCACAGGACAGCATAGTAATTATGAGGCACTTCACTATGGTTTGTGGGGGTCTGGAACAAGCGACCCAGCCATGTAGTTGAAGCTGATGCCCTTGCATCTGTCAAGAATGGTCTAGAAATATGAAATGAAGTACATAAAGGAAATGTAAGATCTGGTATTTCTAGACAACCAAAAGCCATTGTCCTGTTTCTCTTTTCTTTTGCTGTGCAGTTGTGGATTAAATGCCTTTTAATTAACGACATGTTTCTAGAAAGCAGGAGACTGCTCTTTTTTAAAGGACAAGATTGATGATCATGCTGCTCTTGAGTGGAAAATAATGAGGCCAAATCACACTCAAACAGTTAGAGAATATTTGTTTAAACTATGTGCGTTCTGATGGTCCAGGAATGTACAAAATTGAAGTTATGTGTATCTCTACATATCACGCAGAGATACTTTTACGATATCTTGTCCTGTTCCGAGATATGTTTACCATTCTGTCTGCGGTGAGTATGGCCGCTGGGTGTATGAGGAGCTGTTCTCCTTAATTACCTGCAGTAGTTGTGATTCCCAAGTCCCAGGGTTAATGCATCTGCCTGGTAGAGAATTTCAAGTGATTCATAATCCCACTCCAGACAGTCCTTTCCAGTCTGAGACTTTGAAACAGTGCCTCGGTAGTTCTGTCCATTTCCGTTGTAGCACTTTGCTGAGGTTTCTGGGCAAGAAGAAGGAAATTAGACATTTGAGGAAAGCTAGGAAGGGCAGCACAGTGTAGGAGTGGTTAGCATTGCTGCCTCGCGGTACAGAGGTGCTGGGTTCAGTTCCTGGGATGCTGTCTGTATGGAGTTTGGATGTTCTCCCCCTGTTCATGTGGGTTTCCTCTGGGTACTCCGGGTTTCCTCCCACAGCCCAAAGACATACTGGTAAGTTAACTGGCTTCTGAGAAAATGTGGCTGTTCTTGTGTGAGTGTGTGCGATGGACTAATGTCCTATTGAAAGTACTGTATATCCTGCCTTGTACCCGGTATAAGCTCCAGCTCTTCCATAATGGATGAATGGAAAGCTGGGAGAAATGTTGTTGAATTAAATATTACTTCTTGAAAGACAGTGTCTTGTATTTAACGCACAGTGTGGGTAGCATATCAAACAGCTAGCAGAATGACCAGGTGTCCCAGACAGAGGAGAGGAAGAATTATAAACAGCAGGAAATGAGTAGAGAATCAGGGAAATAAAGGGGCAGAAAGGGCCTAAAGACTTGTACCTATTTCACAGTTTTTCCCACTGAAGTCCCTGGGACAGTGGCAGACGAAGTGTTTGTTGCTGTACTGGTATGCGCTGGAAATGCCTCCATTCAAACAAATAGCACCTAAAAAAAAGTCCAAGATACAGCTTATTAAAAACTGCAGCTCAGTGCCTTAGGATTCAGAGTAAATTATCTTCGTTTTAAGTGCTTCCATTTTACATAATGTGAAATTTTGTTGCAGGTGGAAATATAGTTACATGCAAACACTGCAGTAACATGTGATCTTGTAGCAATGAAGCAAAACCTAAAATTAACTAATTACACTACATAAATCTGCCTTTTTGAAAACAGTAAAAATCTAGGCTGCTTCAGGTTAATTAAAGGCTGATCAACTTGCAACTCATTGAATAAGGCGAAGTTAGTGAAGTGACACTTCAGAATGTGTTTTTTTTTCATTGATCATGCAGCAGCATGCGCAGCTCTGCATGTAGGATTTCAGTTATTCTACCTGAGTGAAATTGTTCTGTATGTGAAATTAAATGAGCTGATTTACCTGTTTCCTCCCCTGAATATATGTCTTGTGCTGTTTCCCTCAATAGGGCCTGAAAGAAAGTGAAACAAAGGTGTTCTGCTCAGCAAAACCTTCACGGCCTTCATCACCTCCTGCAAAATTAAAACCTTCAAAGAACAGTGCTGGCTGTTGCCATGAGCTTTCATTTCTGATGTACTATTAGGCTCCTTATTTACCCTCGGTGGTATGGTGCCACCAGTTTCTCAGTTTTATCCTCAGCTTTCATTTTGGGTTTTAGCCCTACTTAAAACATCTTAATTTGTATGAGTTTGTATTTAGTTTTTGTTGCTGACAAAACTCGAGTTGAAAAGACACATAGGAGACTGAAATTAAAATACCCTGTGTCAGCAGAACCTTAGCACGCAGTGTTCATATAGGCCTGGGTCTCTGTTCTGGGAGATGATTAATGCTGTCCTGTAATGAACTTGGGAGACATGAAGCAATTTCTGCATTTCTTCTCTTTTCTTTCAGTTGCTGTCTGGCATGTGACTTTTGTCAATAGATTCACTCAAGCTATGCTGAGTTTTTATGTTATTTTTAAAATCATATATCAAGGCAAGAGATTGTTTCTAGTTCACTTTGGAAAACGCTATAGGGAAGAGTTGTCTTTCGTTAAGATATTTAAGGAGCAGAGAAGTGGCATTTAATGCCTGAGAAAAAACGTCAGTCAATTTTGCAAATTCCCAAAGAGGAACCTTCAATTATCATTCAAAGTGTCTTGACATCAGCACAAACCATGAGAAACAGTGCTTCCTCTTTTCTACTTACAGCTTCACTGCAGAGGATCAGGGCCCCAAGAGCAGCTAAGAGAGTCAGGAACCTCATCTTTTCCAAAGGTTGTTGTTTTCTTCCTTTTTTGGAAAAAGTGCAAAAGAATGAACATGTCAGCTCATTTTTTGTAATGAGAGGCAACACAGTTCCTCAGTCTTTATCATCCTCAGCTCTTCAGAGATTTCAATATTCGGTTTGTTGTCAAGGCTTCTAATTCTATTCATATTCCCAGAGGCTTGATCTCTTTCAAACTATGATTGATACTATGGTAAAGCTAGATGTGTTTAAAAAGTCTCCTGAGGTTAGCAAGCGAAAAAAACAGCTTGTGTAAATGTCATAACAAACAGTTATTTTCATTATAGAAAAACAGAAAATACCAGGTTTTAGCAAATGTATTTGGGCACAATGCATGCAGCAAAAAGCAATAGTCCCATCTGGGTTAGATGAAGTCTGTTTAATATTGCTGATGTGCTTAAGACTCATGTAATTCTTCATGTTCAGACTTGAACACTAAAGAAATGTTCCAGCTAAGCTTGTACAGCTTCCAGAATAACAGGGGTTCAGTGAATGTGGGTGTCAGACAAAGCCTGAGGCATTCTAGCCTGAAGTGGCTTGATTTGTTTTTTAAATGAACAAATTTTCACGCAAGTTAGAGACAGCCTTGCTCTTCGAAATGAGTAGGGTTTAGACACCTAGCTTCTGAGAACAGAACACAAGCCAAGAACTCATTTGGAATATTTTGTACACCCTTGGTCACAAAGTGATGAAACAAGATTCTGCTACTTTAGAATCACTCCTGAGAAAAGAAACCAGACACATTCTGAGGCTCAAGGGCATGTGGGGATGTCCCACACTGACAGCTGAAAACTGAACCCTATTTTTCTGAAACAAAGAAGGCTAATACCTGATCCAAGTACTGTATTAAAATCCCATAATCCCCAGTGGAGCTCCCCAGAATACACAGTGAAACACAAACCAGAGGACACAAGCAAAAGCTTTGTTTAATTTGTTTAAAACCAAGCACAGCAGGCACTTCTTGAACCCCGAGGCCTGTGAGAGTACAGTATGAAATAAGCCACTCAGGCATGTTGTTGAAATGGAAAGTCTTGAAACAGCTGGATGAGGTGCTTGGATCAGTTAAGTACTAGCTACAAGATGGCTGGAAAATGGGTCAGATGGCTGGATGGTTTCCTAGTGTTTGTAGCCTTTCTCGTGTTCATGTGTTCCTAACAGGTAGAATGCAAACATACCAATAAATATATTTCAATGTTTCATCTATTCATTTATTTATTGTTGAAGTCAACATTTCACCATGAAATGTTGGCCAGGATGGTATGATTGTAAATAGCACCTACTACTGAAGTGCAAAGATGCTGCTACATGGGCTGAGAAGTCGGAGCAGGAAACTGCTTTAATTGCTTTAGGTCCAAAGCTTGTGTTTCAACAAAAAAAAAATGTTATTGCATCATTTGGTCTTGCAGCTGGGAAACAACAGCTAGACTTCATTACAACATTTTACAAAAGAAGAATTTCCCCCTGGATTGCATCAGTATCTCATCTGAAACATTAACATATGCGCCAATACACAAGTGATAAAAGCGAAGGAAGAAAAGCTGTTAAGAAACTAAAGTGTGTCAGTAATCGGGAATGCAAAGAAATATGTGTTTATCTGGTGTGTTATGACACCCAGCTTCAGTGACAAGACCCTGCAAGTGAGTGACTTTTAAGATGACAACATAGACACCCACTGGCACCTCCAGCTGTAATTAATACACAGACAGCATTCTGTAGTCCTTAGCCAGACGTGGGCAGTCTTTGTTGCTGGACAAAGCGTGCATGGAAATCTAAGCCAGTTGTCTTAAATCTTGTCGGCTGCTTAAGCCAAGATCTCATAAAACTTAAAAACATTTTATGTGAAGGGGTGACAAACTGATTAGCGCTAAGGTGCCCAGAACAGACTCTAGATTAAAGATGAGACCCGTAAAATACCAACAGACAGACACAGACACCATGAATCACCTAAATATTGGTGTGGGACATCCCCATACACTTGCTGGCTTGTATCACCTCTGGCATCAATGTAAAGAAATATTTACCTTTCAGAAATTCGAGGCAGAATCCGCAGTATAGTTCTATTCTTTTCATTCTGCAGTAATGGAGTGTACTGTGCCCCTGTGTGTTATTCTGCGGTAATGGAGTGTACTGTGCCCCTGTGTGTTATTCTGCAGTAATAGAGTGTACTGTGCCCCTGTGTGTTATTCTGCGGTAATGGAGTGTGCTGTGTCCCTGTGTGTTATTCTGCAGTAATGGAGTGTGCTGTGCCCCACTGAAGATTACTGCTCATTGCTGATGAAATCACCAGACCTATCCATTTATTTCTACCCAGTCAGATTGAGGTTCCCAAGTGAAAGCTCATGTACGTCTCTAAGTCTGTACCTTTTCATTCTTTTCACAATCATCTCTGTGTGGTTTAGCACAGTGTTGCTGTGCTATTCTGGTCACTGCTATGCTTGACCGCACTATTTGCAGTGTGGTTTCATAGCCTTTGCATTTAAGAATCAATATAACCAACACAGTGGCAGAAGTTTAACTTCAAACCTGTAAAATCATTGCTGTGCAGTGAAGAGCCTTCAGCATCTGGCAATGAAACAGATATTTCTTTTTACCTCTGAACCTACACACAGAAATAGGTATTCATAGATGAGCTGATGTGCTTTGAAGCCCTTCCCATGTCTGAGCTCAGGGCAGCTCTGCTGCAGAACGTGAGTAATTAAACTCCCCCAAAAGAGCTGACGTCCAGGTCTGAGTGGTAGAAAAATATGGTTTGTCAAGTTCAACACCACAGAAGCAGTCACCTGTTTTTAAGTGTGCAGGAACGCTGGCTGAAATAGGCATTTACTTCTAAATTGCTATGCTTGCACTGCACGAGGAAGGCAGTCGCCTCAGTCCGGAGAGTAATGGATTACTTGTGGGGCTGAGAAGCCAGCATGCTGACTCGCCACTGCATTATATACATTACTCCACTGACATGTGCAACCATGATTTCTATCACTGAACTGTGAAGATCCCATTACGGACACAGGACTATAACCTGTCATTTATCTTAGCCAGAGAGACCCCTACATTATCACACAATGGTCATTTTGCAAATGTACCTTTTTCTATGAGTCCATATTGCATTTGTACCACAGTTTGCCGATGTTCATTCTGCATTTGATATGCCAAATAAAAACCGAAAGAGGCACATGGGCTTGTCCTCACACGCCGTGAGGACAAAGCAGCACTGTAATCGCGTCTGTGCTTCCTTGAAAGACTCTGAAGCCAGTGTACAGGCTAATGCTCTTTTCCAGGGGACATCTGGTGCTGGAACCCAGAGCACTCATGAGATGTGAACGATCAGTGATAACTGGAGGACCGAGACGAGGAAAGGTGCAACCACAGTCTTGGTGGTAAATAATCGAAAGGGAGCAGAATTCACCCCAGAACATTGTTAAAGCTTTTCTCTACGGAGAAGTCATCAGACCAAAATGTATGTGGCCCCAGATAAGTGCTGCTTCATCCTATCATATTGCTGTTGGTACTGTTAATCGGTCCTGTGAACCTACAGTACATCCTTTCCTCAACACTAGAATAGAATCCGTCTTACCTGTCTCACTGAACGGTGCGGGTCAGTGTCTGCCGGAATGAAGCACTGCGAGCGGAGTGGCCCCTCACTGGGATTTACGCCCTGGGCTTCTTTGTCGTGCTGCTGTGGAAGAGATGCCTTATATAACAGAGATGTGAGTGGCCAGGGGGAGGGCCAGCTGCAGATTGACACATCCAGAGTGACACGTGCAGGCTGCAGGCAGCTGAGCTGAGACAGAGACCTGCCACGGTGACTCATGCTAACGCCTCCTGCCTTCTGCAGAAATAATGTGGGAAGAAAGACTTCCCAAAATGGTCTCCTTTGAAGGTGAGACGGAGGTGGGGAGGGTTCAGCTGCCTCTCTCCACACTCCCTTTGTGTTTGCATTGTTTGTCATTATAAATGGTTAATTAATACTCTAAGCATAAACAGTCTTTTATGCTGTATAATTTCACCCAAGATGTTTCTTTGGAAAGTAAAACAGACATTAGAAAAAATTAGCACCTCAAGACGACCTACCTACTGTATCTGTCTTTCTGTCTACGAGTAACTGGAAGAATTATCATGATAATTAGTAATTACCATTTTATAACCAAATTGATTACTTTTGACTGTTTTGTTTACGTCGATATCTATTTTCGGTTTGTTTCACCGTCTCATGAAGCGAATCAGTCAGCAAGACTGTCTTATGTCAAAATTCAGAAGAGTACAAAATGTTGATTTCCAAAAATATTTTGTCATGTCCATAACATGGGCTACACACTTAATGACTCCTCAAAGTGAGGTGTGAGGTGGGAGAATGCTTTCATCACTCATCATCATCAAGGAAACCAGCCATCCCAGTTGGGATGAAATTATCCCAGTTCTTAGTCCTAATTGTTTCATCATGATCAGAAACCATAGAAGTATTAAATGAATCTGGTTTCTCTCTGCCTTTATGCAGGTTCAAAATGCAGCTTTAGTTCAAGCAACTGTGCAGCCTCTCTGCCCAAGAGGTCGTTAATGACTCTGCAGTTACTAATTATTTTTCTTCATCCCACACTAAGACTGAAACAGCTGTACATGTGGCTTTAATTTTTCATTTTGTCACATATCCGGCACACAATCTGTATCCTCTGTTAAATTCTGAGGAGTCTCTTTCAGTAGGAAACCTCTTAAGTGTTGCTGTTTTCAAAATGCTCAATCATCAATACTTCATTTTATTCACCCATAGATGTTTTCTATTACAAGCAATAACTCTTACCCAAGCTAAATTATTTATATTTTTTTAAAAATCCAGATTTTTCATTTGGCACCTTGATCTTTATGTAGATCCTGACTTCATGGGACTGGGGTGTACAGGTGTTCTAGCTTCTGTGGATGAATGGGCTGCAGAGATGAATGACTCTATAAAACACACAAGTCTGCCTGGCCATTCATAGCCTACAGCTCAGTTCAGACTGAGGCAATTTTCTTCCAGACAGACCAGCTTCAGGGAAAGATTTATATCGCAGGATCACACTGGACCCAACACAGGAATGAAAAGATTTTAGCCACGGAGAGAAAGGTCTTTACAAAGAAGAACCTAGCCAGAGGGAAGAGCACCTCATAGAAAATGGTATTAGTGTTTAGAAAAGCAACCAGTTTATAAGCCTTTGATGTGGCTGAGTAAATGCGAAGGGATGTGTGTTATCACTTGTTAAGGCAAAGACCTCAGAGATTGAAAACTACACAAAAATACAGCACCATACAAGAGGATACAATTTCAGAGTCCCCCAGATTTGCTTCAAAGTTGTTACACTGCTCTGCTAGGAATTTTTTTCAGCCAATTTTGGTCACTAAAGTTGCTGCTTATCCACGGTTTTAAGGCTTTTTGACCTCAGACCTCAGATTTCATAAGAACATTATTCCAGTGGGGCAGATGAGAGACGTCATTTTCAGTGTATCTCCGGGTGATCTTTAAAAACAGGAATTTCTGGTGCAGCTGCACTGTAGCACCATCTGGATGAGCTGTGTCACTATCTGCCCTCTGATTTCTATGGTAGCGCATCTGGTGACTCTTGGTTTGGCAAAGCCGGTGAAACATTAGCAACAATACTTACGGAAAACATTTTGAACAAGATTCTCCGTGCTGCATACCAGACTAATATGATAATGCTGATCAAATGTATTAAAGCCATCGTTCTAAGATGTAATTCCCAATGAAATTTACGATCATCGTGATGCTGTCTTGTAACGCTCAGCATGTGCCATTGGGAACCATAAGCTTTTACTAAAGAGATCTGTGAAAAGAAGATCTAAAAAGAGATTGTAGCCACCCATCGTTTTCCTACAGGCGTCAATAAAGTTCTTGAAAAAGAAAATTAATTACAAAGGGGAAAGAGGAGTAAACTGTGCAATGCAAGAAGTCAGCTGCTACAGAAATCTACAGTATGAAGCACGCTGGGTTGTGATGGGCACTACACCAAATGAAATAATCGATTGACTGGCTGATTGATCAATTGATTGGAATACAAATGACTTTGACACACGTGCATGTTTACGAAGCACTGTCTACCACGGATGCGTCTCAGACCCCGAGAGAAAAAGACACAGTTACTGAAGATGTGAAAGAGCAGACAGCCATTGCAAAACCCTGAGCTGAAACTAACCTCACTTCCACAGTCAGCCGCAGTCTCGCTCACTTTATTCGAAAGGCACTTTTTTCCAGGCTGATTGAGTTGACCGCCTTTGTCCCGCAGGGGTGTGAATAAATGGGACTTTTATGGGTTTAAGGAAACAAGGCTTGGAGAGCATCCACGAGACTTTGATTTGGACTTTGCGCTGTGCAGTGCTGTTCCAGTGCGACAGTTTGAGGACTGTTTTAGGACACATTATCCCATCCAGAGATCCTTCTGTTATAAGGTGCGTTTTCAGGATACCGGAGCTGTGCACTGCGTCCTGGAAGCTCACCCTCCTGGGCACGTCAGCACAGCCCGTGCCCATTGGGCACCTGGTTTCCTCTTTCAGCAAGGCTGTGATAAGACACAGATTTGGCAACCCTGGGCGTCGGGCATAGCGGATACTTTGCCTAACCTGTTTCCTTCTTCCTGTCTGGCAAAAGAAGACGTAAATCACTATCACGAATAGTATAAAGATTATTTAGCATCACCGTCACAACAACCGCAATAATGACTAATTAGAAAGGAGGTGTCAAACATCACTGATGTATTTCTGAGACTGTTATGGAGTGGCATTATAAAATAAGCAGATTTACAGTGGATATATAAATACTGGGACCCTTCTTCTTCAACTATAGTACTAATTAATAAAGCTTAACCAATTTTGTTTGTTGATCTTATTTATATGTAGTATAACCTATTTAAATTAATATATTATTCCTCCATCTGTTGTCATTTATCTTAACAAATGGTACTCAATTAACTGATTTAACTAATTAGTCATTAACGCTAGGGTATCAATCAAACGGTCTACAAGTTGGAAACAAGGTAAACTCTCTGTAATTTCCTGTCTCTCTTCACGTGTTTACTTTATCTAACGCAGGGCACCTGAATGGCCCGTGTCCTTATTATAAAAATCCACTTCACATTCTCAGAGGCTCATTTGCGTTTGCTGAAGAACCTGAAGTGCCACACATTCCTGAGGCTTGACTGGCAGTGTCACTGGGCACTCATGCCCAGAGTTAACCAGCCATTTCCTTCGAAGAGGATGACCAGTTCTCCAAGCACGTACTCACAACTGGAACATTCTCATTCTACCCCATGCTCGTAAAGGCTTGAAGAGTTCAATTGCTTAACTAGTAGATCATAGACTTGCTATTACTATTACTATTTGTGATGAGAGGATTTCAATATATCATGTATAAGAAAACAAGACCAGACACAAACAAAAAGAGACCATTTATCCCGTCCTGGTTACCTGGATACTGGTAGCTAATTGGTCCGATGATCTCATCCGGACTTCCCTTTAAAGAGCTGTTAGAATCAGCTTGTTCCAGACATCCGCTACACTTTGTGTAACAACGGGCTTCTGGTGTCTGCACTCTCTCTTAATTTCCATGGCTTTCCCTGGTGAGTCTGCTTCTCACTGGTGAACTGCACAGTACTCCGGATTGACATTTTCAGCAGCTGTGAGTATGCCGAGTACTTCATGTTCCTCCAACCGTCTCCAACAGAAGAGGTTTCCTTCTCTTAGCTGGCCTGTACTGCTCTGCAGACCACACCTGAAGAAGGCTCCACGGCCGAAACGTTGTGTTTTTTCTCTCTTCTTTTTTTCAGCATGGAATAAACCTATTACTTGTTCCTTTGCAGCCTACGCATGCTGACGCAGCTCCCCACCTGAACTGCTCTGCAGAAGGGACATATCATATTTGTAACACCTCAAACAGAACAGGAATTGTATAGTATTTATTACAGTATTTACAGTATTTAATTCAATGAAATGATTTTCACTGGAATGGAATAAAACATTTGTTTCAGGATCTATCAGGAGAACACAAGAAGGGCTATAAATGAGAGGAGGCCATATTTTGGGAAGATGGGAAATGTTATATTAGGACAATGCTTAGGTGGCTGTTTCCTGTTTTCGTGTGATTGACAGGTTTCTCTGCCATGAGGGATTAACACCCCCTATGAAAGTGGAGGACAGTTCAGGTCATCACCCATCCAGAGCTAAACACCAGACTTCCTGCTTTCTGTAAAGTTCTGGAATACCTGGAAAATCTTTCTTTTCATTATAAAAGTTTACCTCAGATGTCCAGATACTGCTGTGTATGATTCACTTCTTTTTCACTAGGATCCAAAGAAACATTTCCCAAATACCACACAGACATTGACAAACTCAGTATGCCAAAACTGTTGATACCTGCAATATTGATTTATAACAGGTGTGTGCCTGCTCTTACAATTGGGTTTTAAGCATTAGAGTATAACTCACGTAATTTACAATAAAAGATTCCATGACACTCTTTGCAAGAGAAAATAAAATCCATCCTTTTTAATAAAATACCCTTACTCGGTCAGGTGTTTCAGTTGTTCAGGGCTTTAGGGTCTTGGCCATAAGGAACAGCACCATGCAGGTGTATATTTTGATGTTTATAATGTAGAGCAATGCCAAAATCGGAACAATGTCGATATTTGCCA